TCTTCTTCTTCTTCTTCTTCTTCTTCTTCTTCTTCTTCTTCTTCTTCGTCTTCTTCTTCTCCTTCTTCTCCTTCTTCTCCTTCTTCTCCTTCTTCTCCTTCTCTTCCTTCTTCCTTCTTCTTCTTCGCCAGAGTTTCTCTGTGTAGTCTTGGCTGTCCTGGAGTAGCTCTGTAGACCAACCTGGCCTCAAACTTAGAAATCTGCCTGCCTCTGCCTCTGAGTGCTGGAGTTAAAGGTGTGCACTTCCACTACCCAACTCGAACAGTTTTAAGGCCCATGTAATCTTAGTTCTAGAGACACAGTTGACCCTTTGCTTTTTTGAGTTCTGAGTCAGTAAATCGAACTGACCACAGATAGAAAATGTTCAGGAGGGAAAACAAAAAACATTTGCACTGGGCATGTACTATTTTCTCATCACTACTCCCTAAGTAATACAGTACAACTGAGTACCTAGGAATTACATGGTATTGGGTAATAGATGTAATCTAGAGATAGTCTAATGTATATGGGAAGATGTATGCAGATACTGTGTGCCATTTTGTAATGGGACTTAAGCACCCACAGAATTTGGTGCCTAATAGGGGGTCCTGAAACAAATTTCTGACAGATCCTAAGTATGAACAGTTTTTATGAAGTAACAGCCTCAATTGTCTACCTTAAACATACCACTGAACATTCACAAGGCTTGTGGGCTCCATTCTTAAGCCTCTACACACTACTGATGAGAAATGACCTTTGCTGGTGTCCAAGCAACTGTGTGTGGGGACGGTCATTGTTATAATGTGCTGTTGTCCCCAGGAGCTGAATAACCGCCTGGCTGCGGAGATCACACGGTTGCGGACACTACTGACTGGAGATGGTGGCGGAGAGTCTACTGGGTTGCCTCTCACACAGGGCAAGGATGCCTACGAGTTAGAGGTACTGTGAGAAGCTAGGCAATGCCTTACTCAGGAGCTCCTGAGTCACACAACAGCTCTTTAGCTTAGAGTCACTGAGGGACCAGGTGTTAGGACAGGGCCAGAGAGATGTAGTTCAGTAGTAGAACTTTTGCTTAGCTTGTTTTAGCTTGCAAAACTCTGGGTTCATCTCTAGCTCTGCAACAACCGCAAAAAAGAAAGCTTCAAGAAGTTAGCATATGTAAAAGCTGTGAGAGGGTCCAAAGTCATCAGGGATAGCAATTAGCTGACAGGTAGCATGAGGTCTACTGGCATGAGCAGCCTCTAGATGCCAGGAGGATCTGCAACCCCACACTGCCCTTTACCTGCCCACAAAACTGGTCTCATTAAGTGCCCCATTTCAGGGCTACAGGAATGATGCTTGACTTCTCAGAACCCAGGATGGTTATTTTTAATCAAAATGGCTCATTCTACGGTGGCATACACTTGTAATCCCAACTACTTAGGAAGCTGAAGCAAGAGGATTCCAGAACAGGCTGGAAAGAAAAGAAAAGGAAAACACTGTTGAAAGAAGGAGGGAGAAAGAAAACACTCTTAATGTATGTAGGATTGTGATTCTCAACCTGTAGATCAAGAGCCTTTTAGGGGCACATTTCAGATACCCTGCATGTTAGATGTTTATATTATGGTTCATAACAATAGCAAAATTATAATTACGAAGTAGCAACAGAATAATTTGATGGCTGGGAGTCACCAGAACATTAGGAACTATATTAAAAGTATATTGCAGCATTGGGAAGATTGAGAACCACGAGGGTAGGGCATCCTCAAGAAGGCCCTAATAAGGGAAGATTTTCCCTTATAGATGGCTCAGACTCTTCCATACTGACAAGAGAGCAGGAGGAGCTGGGTAGCCTTGGCAGAAGTTCCTCCAGGAACAGTGTATCTAGGCCTTGACAGCTCCATCTCAGGGAGCAAGCAAGTCAGTGGTGGGAACTCAAGCTAGTCCTTGTGCCTGTTCTCAGGAGTAACAAATCTAGCAGAGTATTCCCCATTTCCATTTCTGTAGAAACAGCAGTATTTAAATCATGTATTCTGCTGGGTAGCAACAAGGGTAGGCTCTCTCCTCCCCAGTGTATGAAGCAACTGTCTGCCAGCAAACCTCTGTATGCATAGACTACAGGATCCCTGGTTTCTGAGAGTTAGTCCTCATTTTCTCTCTCTTTATAGGTCTTGTTGCGGGTCAAAGAATCAGAAATACAGTACCTAAAGCAGGAGATCAGCTCCCTCAAGGATGAACTCCAGACAGCCCTGCGGGTAAGGGCTATGTGTTTGGAGGCAGGACAGAGAGGGGTGAATGCCAGGAGGCTTGGCCAGGTCCCGCTGGGCTCATTTTAGCATAGCAGGCCACTCTACAGGATCATGATCCCAAAGTCAGTTTCCCTTAAAACACCAGCCTATAAGCATATCCCTTAGAAATGAACAAGGAGGCCTCCTGGCCTCATCAGGTGGTGATGGTTTCTATGTTTCCATTCATTTGGATAGGAACAGTGACACACAGAAGAATGCTGTGTGGGTGAAATGAGACTTGATGTGCCATTCAGGTGGGTCTAGTTGGACCTGTCTCAAAGAGGTTCCTGGAGTCAAAAAGAAGTAATAGAATCCTTGGTGTGACTTAGTAAATATAAAAACTAGAGGCTTTTCTTGGCTGACACTACTAGGGAAGTGGCTGGTCAGACAGGACCACAGCAGGCTGCCTGAGACTGTCCATCTACTCACCACGTTTTCTCAGGGATTTCCAGGCCACAGTTAGTTCTCGCAGGGCATTAGTTCCAAGGCTAGAGTTCAAAGTAAGTCTGATTCCTTGTCTACAGCTGCCATTCATGTCTGTCCCTGTGTTCTCTAGGATAAGAAGTATGCTAGTGATAAGTACAAAGACATCTATACAGAGCTCAGCATTGCAAAGGCCAAGGCTGACTGCGATATCAGCAGGTTGAAAGAGCAGCTGAAAGCAGCCACAGAGGCACTGGGCGAGAAATCTCCTGAGGGCGCTACTGTGTCAGGATACGGTGAGCAATCTGGGTGCTACTCATGGAGATGTTTTGGCACTTGCATCAAACCCCAAAAATTCTAATGTCTGTGCCATCCCAAATCTCCTTTAGGGACCCCACCTGCACAGGTTCCACAGGTTTCCCCAGACGATCTGCTCCTCCCATATCCTGCAGCTGCTTTACACAGAGCTTCCATAGAAACAAGGGGTCTAATAGTCTGTTTTCTGAAAAACTTCAGCAGGTAGGGGGAAGAAGTTCTTCCTAGTTCCTTGATGCAAACGATTTGCCATAAAATCTTTTGAGGGACACAAGCAAGCAGAACAAAGAGGGAACCTACTACCTTCTTGAGAACAATGGAACTGACCTCTTTCTGTGCGGGCTGAAAATATCCAGGCACTGTGCAGAACAGATGAGAAGCTGCAGAGCCACGTACTTACTGTTGGACACTTTCTAATAATCCACGGTTTCACCTTACCTTCATGGTGACTTTTGCATTATAAAAGCCCCATAAACTGAAAATCTGCCCCAAATCCCCTAATACCCTTGCAGCTCAACTTTCCTTCACCAGCAAGTTCAAGAACAATAGCCATGACAGCACTCACACATGCCTGCTGGAAAAGTCCTCTGCATTGCTTATGGGATACAAACACCCAATTTTCTGAAGGCAGCTGACAACAGCACAATTTAAAATCTACCTTACGGGGGCTAGAGAGATGGCTCAGAGGTTAAGAGCACTGGCTGCTCTTCCAGAGGTCCTGAGTTCAATTCCCAGCAACCACATGGTGGCTCACAACCATCTATAATGAGATCTGGTGCCCTCTTCTGGCGTGTAGGCACACATGCAGACAGAACATTGTAAACATAGGAAATAGATATCTAGATGTCTTAATAAAATCTACCTTACTGTAAAAGTGATTACCATCGTCATTTGGGTAGGAAGCCAAGAAACCAGGACATTAGAGGGACGCAGAACTGGAATTGGAAATGTGTATGGCCTTGACTTGCCATAACTCTGAAAAGTGTGAGTAGGGTACTGCGTCTGTAGATGAGCACCACAGCAGCATTCTACCACAGTGCACAGAGAACCAAGCATCGTCCATGGACAGCAGTCTACTGGTCAGCGCAAACTGGCATTGTTGGAAGCTGCACACATACTCTGGTGTGACCCGGTGTACATCTTTATCAAGACTTTATAAGGACTGTTTTCCTGATGGGGTGGATCATAAAAAGAATTTGGTCTGATTCTGTTTGGTACCAGTCCTATGCCAAAAGTAAGCTAGAAATAAGTAATGAGGCCAGTTAGTCTGCCCAGAGTCGAGGCCCAGCTCGGGAGGAAGATCCTATCCTTTGTTGACAGCACTGTTTGGTTCAGGAGTTGTGACTTAAAACTCTGGTGGGAGCCCAACGCTCTGGTGCTTGGTGGGATAGGAAAAGGGTATACTGTGGCTTGGTACTGGATCTAGGCGATATCTTGGTGCACTGTAGTAGTGGACGCAGACCTTCCCCACATTGTTTGGTTCAGAAGATGTAGAAAGCAAAAGTAATGAGTCTTTTGTTCCTTCAGACATAATGAAATCTAAAAGTAACCCTGACTTCCTGAAGAAAGACAGATCCTGTGTTACCCGGCAACTCAGAAACATCAGGTCCAAGGTGAGTGAGGTCCAGCTTATAGGTGAGGTGGGGCTAGAGGATGCTGGAGATCAAGCCCAGTACAGGCACCAGCCCACCCATGTAGTCACACTGGGGATGGTTCTAGTGGTTTCAAGGTCCGTGTCCATGTTCCATGTCATTAGAACCATATGGGGCCAGGCCTTCAAGAAGCAAGACATGGAGAGATTCGGACTTGAGCCTCCCTAAAGGTGGGATGGATTTGACCTCTCATCGGCTCCACGGTTTGTCTGTTCTCTGCACATCCCTGTCATCACACTGATCTGCCAACCTTGGAGAGATGAAGTCACTGATCCCCAGTGTGCTTTGAGATGGGCGTGTCTCTGGGGGGATGGGTGGAGAGGACCTGGCCAGCATGCTGCATTTAGAATTGATTGTGTGTGTGTCTTATTTTTTGCTCTTTCCTCTGACAGTCCGTAATTGAGCAGGTCTCATGGGATAACTGAGTCGCGCCCGATTCCAAGTCCCCTGTCATGTAGGTAAAACCACTTCTCACTCTGCCCACTACCCGCACATGCGGCTCTGCATGCACTGCTCACACCTCCATAGCACACCTCTGTGTAATTATCTTCATTCATCCTTCTCCAACATACACAGAGTCCACATGAGATCTCAATAACTGTCCTGGAAGTTGGCACTCTAACCTCTTCACAGAGCTGAGCCTGCCCAGAGCCTCCCCAGCTTGACGGGTGGGCACAAGCCAGCATGCATACTGGGTGACTTGCACGGCCCCAAGCTCATGTCTCCTCTCTTGGAAACAAGTTGCAGGGAGATGGCGGATAGCCACTGAGCCTGGCAAGCAGTTTGTTCTCATTGAAGACCTCACCCATCCAGTCAGCAGCAAGGCGACTATCTATAGGAGACCCCTATAGATAGAGCAGATTGCCACTATGCTGTTCTATGTGGAGCTGCATGGGTGGAGTCTGAGAAATGATCTTGTTCCTACAGGATGTGTCTGGCAACCAGACACTAGAACTGAACACGACCTGGGGATTTTTGTTTGTTTGCTTGTTTTTATGCAATACAAAAGCCTCTCTCTCCAGTGGAAGGTGGCAGGGCTGGTCAGTGCCAGGGACACTGTGCCCAAGTGTGTGTGTTGACCTTTATGCAGCTCAAGGACTCTGGCCTGGTTGTTGCCACTGGCAGTTAAGTACCCAGGTGTGCCAGTTCCTGCTGCACATGAGCCTTTCTACCTTCTAGCAAAGTGGAAGCCAGCAAGGGCCATCAGCTTGAGGCTCAGATGGAACAGGTTTGCCTTAGGGAAGAATATTAAGAAAGCACATTGGCTTTTTTAACTAGTTTTTTTGTTGTTGTTGTTTTCTCTAGTTCCAAGTAAACTTATATGTAAATGTGATTTTAAGATTAAAAACATAGTTTAGGGTTTTCTGTAAAACTTAAAAAATGTTCTACTTGGTGAGAGAGGAAGCCTTTCTAGGCTGTTTTTGTCATTAGAGACTACTTTCTCCAATCGGAGGTTAAACGCTGCTCTTGCCCAGAAGCCCTCAGAGAGCTCAGTGGTCATTATGAACAAATGGGGCCTTTGGGTCAGAGTAAGAAAGGACATTCAGGGATGGGCACCATGAGGAAGACACACAGTGGGGTGTGCCACCTCCATGTGAACTTGAGGGACAGATAGGGCTCGTAACAAGGGACTACGTGGTAGTAACGCTAGGAACAGGGACCCTCCATTGTAGCTAGATGTCCGTGGCAAAGACAGCTGTTGGGGCTCTTGTGCCCAGCAGGTCACTAGAGTCACACAGTGCTAAGGCGCCTCTGTGCTGGTGCAGTCACCAGAGCCATGGTACGTGGGAAAGGACATTGGGTTTCCAGACGGCACCTGACTGTCAGGAAGCAGGAGAGCTGAGACCTGGAAACTGCTTCTCACATGATTTGTCAGCAGTGGCATGATGGCCTGGTTCCTTGTTGTGCTTTGTATCTGATCTCAGCATAACACACACAGATACACACCTGCCCCCCAGGCAAGGTGCGGACCAAGATGGCAGCATGCCAGTGCTGCCTTTGTGCACTTGGACCTTTCTGCCAGCTCTGTTAAGAGAGATACTGAAACCAGTGCTGTGTCATGATTGGGACCTCCCTTGGATACTGTTTCATCTGGCCTCAGTCAGCTTTCATAGCAGCAGCATGGCCTCTTCTGAGAGCCAGAGCAGAGAAGATTCTCCACAGTGTTGTCATAGGGTGGGTGGAAATGCTATGTGGCTGCACCTGAGACCTGAGAGATGGCAGCTCTTGGGGTATAAGGGACAGTGGGTCTTGTCTGCTCTGTCCTGAGAATGGTAGGGAGTGCAGTGACTGGGTTAACACCCCTGGGGGGTCAGTTGCCACTTAGGGCCACTGTGACCATCCTGGGCCTGATCCTAGCACATGAAGATTTTCATTGTGGGACACCTGGAACCCAGTCCTAGAGCACTTTCTCAGCAAGTCCTCAGCTAGAACAGAACATTTATGGCAGTGCAAGTATCCCCAATCCCCAGGGGAATACTGTGGTTTTGGCCAGAAGACCTATTCCCATCTTTTGGGAATCTGGCTGCCATGGAACCACCTGAACTCAAGGGAAGTGAGACTTTAAGAATACCTTGAAGCAGGTGTGGGAGTCACTATTCACACACACGAAATTCGTCAATACTCATTCAAGGACAGCCTCAGTTAGATGAGTACTTAACAAACAAAACAAGCAAACAAAAGACCAGCTCAGGTTATTATGGGAAGCTGGTAGTAAGGGACACCAACCACAGCCCAGATCCTTCTTCATACCCTGCAGGAAGGTAGGCCTCGACCTCCACAAACACCCTGGCTGACTATTCCCCGGTATAACCTGCATTCATGGCTAGGCACCAAGACTGACTGCCAACAAGAATCAATACTAAGGAGCCACAGCCAGACCTGGGCATGCTGAAATACGTTTACTGCCAGTTCTGTAGGAACTGTAGTCTTCTGTTCCAGAAATGAAAGCTTTGGGGAAAGGAAAGACGCTTAAGGGAGAGGTGGGAAATATTCTATTCCCTAGTTAGGAAAACATCCTTTACCTTAAATAATACAAAGATCACAGGAGAAAGTCCCAGTTTAGACACACAGACACAGACACGAGCATATCTTCAAGGCTGTAAGTTCATGAAAAAAAAAAAAAAAAAAAGGAATGAGACATGCATACTCCATATACAGGAAGAATGATTCTCCATCCAAGTTTTTCTCTTGTGGTTTTGTCTAAAGAACCAGCCCTAAGGCCAGTGTTGAGCTATAACACTTGATCTTGTTTCTCTTTATTTTTTCCCCTTTCTCACCCAAGTAAGTTTCAGCAGGAGAAAACAACTCCAGTAACACTACTTTTAAGGGGTCTTCTCAGGGGCCTTCTGCCCTCGCATGCCCACTAATCTCAGGATCCTTCAACCTCACACCTGCACCTGCTACTGAAGCCCAGCTGCCACTGATGTATCAATTCCTAACTGCTTCTTCCTGCTCTGTCTCCACCAGAGTCTCAAGGAAGGCCTGACGGTGCAGGAGCGCTTGAAGCTCTTTGAATCCAGGGACTTGAAGAAAGACTAGCTGCGTCCATTCCACCTGACACATCTTTCCCAGCTGGTGGCAGCACAAGCAAAGTGTGGCTTTCGTCTGCATATGTGCTTTTCACTGTTTCCATCATTAACTGTGGTACGGATGCACGGAGACTGCCTTGTGGGGTGTTTGCTCCATTCCCTTCCCTGTTGATTCCAGCTTCCCATTGTCTTTCCGCAGCTTCTTTCCCATGGTATTCTCAGATTAGTCAAGCTCAAGCGGTAGAGTGGGGAGGGCTTCCCCACAGACACCTGGGCAGGACTCCTTTGTCCTCCCACCACACTCACTGTCAGTATTAAGGCACAGCAGCCTGTTAATAAGCTAGCCCTGCCTCAAAGAGTACACATGTGGGGACTTACCAGTGGCTCTGCTCTGCCATCCAAGCTGAGCACCTCCCCTGCTGGGCAGAACAGAGCCACCGAATGTTCTAGTCTGGCCTGGTTTCTGAAGGGCCTAGGAATAGTGTCCAGCCTGCAACACTTCCCTTTGACCTGGGAGGAGGACAGCATTTTGTATTTGGCCCACTGATGCAGCTTAGAACCATACCCAGATAATCCTGGCAAATCTTTCACAACCTGGAAAATGTTGAAAGAAACCATTCCTATTTTCTTTCTTTTTTTTTTTTTTTTTTTTATTAAATCTTGCACAAAAGCCCCGACCCCTCTCATTCCTTCCTCGGCTTGTGCCTCCCTTACTCTGCTAATCCTGGCCCTCTGGTGGCTGCGAACAGTTACTGGCAGACTGAAGCTTCAGACTGTCAAGTGCGAAGGATCCTCCATCTAGAGGGAACGTAACTGCTGGGTTTTGATCTGTCTGAAAAGAGGCTGTCATGTTGCTTGAAGAGGGGTGAGGAGAATGCTGTGTACAAACACAGGTTATCAGAACTGGTGAGAATAGCAGCAGGTGCTCAGGCCTCTGATTTGTCTGCACTCTGGAAGGTTCTCTTGAAGTGTCTGCTTCTCATGGAGCCATTAACAGGGAGCCTGCTAATTTTGCTTTTTCTAGCTAGCTGAACAAGACCTAACTACCCAAAGCATTCTAGGGTGTTTCCATTTAAACACACACACACACACACACACACACACACGTTTCCAGTCTTATAAAAAATTCATCCCGTAAGATGAAGCACACACAAGAGGCACCGTGTCAGGTGGGAGAGTCAGTCAACTAGATCCTCCCACTGTCCTGGCTCCACTTTGTTAGTGCTGAGTGGGTCAGATGGTCTCTGGGTGCACAATTGAACTCTCACAGGAACCCCTAATGGTTGTATATGAGTTGATGTTCAAGGTTATCCATAATGTCTGGCTGGCCTAATAGACAGGCAGGGCAAAACCTCCATGCTTTGTGACATACCTAACTGTGCTACCTAGCCTGGCAGACAAGCCCTGGCCTCCCCTTTTCACACTGGCACATGTTCTGTTACCGTTTTATATTATCAGTACCAGGAGCAAGTCAGATCTGTTCAAACAGTGCTTTGAGCTCAGAGTGGGCTAGCCTTTGGGAGCTATAGTTGTGTGTTGAGGACTACTGTTCTCTCTGGTGTGGTTCCTTTGCAACTATCCTGCTGCCTTGGGAGCCCTCTGGCCCCAGCAATCATCTTCCTGCTTTATGCTTCCTGGGGTGGTACAAAGAGCCTACTGAAGATGCCAAGCCTACAGTTCAAAACATTTGATCTTTTGCTCTTCACCTCAGAATCCTAGGATAGTACCTTTGCTAAATGCAGTACTTGGGAGCCAGAAGCAGGCAAGGGCTGGGAGACAGGCACACTGCACTTACCGTTACTCAAGGTTCACTTTTGCCATAATACAGCACTCTCTGTTCTAGGGCTGATTTCATATTGGCACAGGACAGGGATGCCTGGATCATCCCCCACTGCCCAAGCCACTCTGAGCAGTAATTCATGGATCAGGGTGCATCTTGAGTTTCTTGGCAGTAACTTCTGGCCTCTGACAAAGGTGAATCAAACCAGAAGCTGGTCTTCTGAGTCTCTGTAGCCCACCTACAGCAGTTTACTCGGACTGCCACATGGCCTTTGTCCATTCCTTACCCCAGTCCCTGTTTGCCTGACCTCCTTACAGGCATCTTGCTCCCTGGAAAGAAACTGAAGTTGGTGTATTCAAGAGAGGCAGCATCAAATGTCCAAGTGGAGTTGGTCCAGGCATCAGTGGGGGGGACACTTGTCTGAGGATGGGGTGGTATATAGCTCAAGAAGCCTCAGCCTGCTCCCAGCCCCATCAGTGGCATATTTTCCCTACTTCATGGTAGAAACAGCATTAAAATGAACAGACATAAGAATTTTATTTTCCTGAAAATACATGTTTGTGATCTGCCAGCATCTTCAAGCAAACTGCCATTACAAGGAACACACCTGCCTTCCTTTGACAGCTGATGTAAACATGCTTAAACTACATCTTGCATGGGTGGTGCCTAGTACCACAGCAAAGAGTGTATCTCTCACCCAGGGCTCCTGGCTGAAGCTTTTCCAGTATGGTTGTGTCCACAGATCTAGGGCCATAATGGGAGGCCAGGGACCCATGAAGTAGGCAATCAGCAGAGGGAAGAATGCTAGGAATGTGTGGGTTCAAATGAGTGAAAGCTACAGTCAGAGTTGAACTTGCCTAGACTCAAAAGAACAATACTGAAGTGTGTGTAGTGTTTTTATGCCTGTACTCTTAGTTCTTGGGACTCGGAAGTTCCAGGTCAGTCTGGTATGTAGCAAGACTATCTCAACATACAGATGAGCTAAGGATATATATAGTTCAATGATGGTAGAGCACCTACCTAACATGTGGTAAGGCCTAGGGGTTCAACCACAGTATTACAAAGAGCACACTTGTGAACTTAAGGACAAGTGTCCAAAAGGAGCCTCAGAGGTTTGACTAGGAAACAAAATTGGCATTAACTTCCCTACAGAGGGAAGTTTCTACCCTAGAACTGAACACACTCCTCACTGCTGACACCTAGCTGGTGCTGAGGGAAGTGCTGGACGCCGCAGAGCCTGCACTGTGAGGCTGGGCATCAGTGGAGAGATTCCTGCAGGCCTGTCCCACACACCAAGTGGTCTTTTTCTGGACCTCCAACTCTGCCCTGGTTCTCAAACACAGGCTGGATAAGCACCCAAAGGCCCCATGCAGCCTTCCCACTCACCCCTGTCTCCATATGAGTAAGCTTGCACATCAAAGTCAGCTGGCAGCTATAGGCAGAATCAGTCCCCAGATGCACAGTAACAACCAAGCCCCAGACTGCTGGTAGAGGGACAGTAGTTACCTCCCAGCTGACTGGCCTGCACCTGCAAAGCAGGAGGGTTACCTGTTCTTGCTATGTTGTCAAAAGATATCACCTTCTCAGCTACTAAAAGATGAACAGTGCAGGGACACACACCCTTTCTCAAGGGAGCGCCTAGCATACAGGGCGCTCAGCCTGTAATGTCAGAGCAAGTGATGGTAGCATTTCTGAGATGTGGCCTAGGGATTTTTATACTAAGTTTGTGTGAACTTTTACAACATCTTGTCTAGACACCTCTTTTGAAGGTATGTTGAGTTCAGTGCAAACCCCTCACACCAGAAGACCATGAGTTAGCTAGGCATGGTGGCTCACACATTTAATCAGCACTTGGGAGCCAGAGGCAAGTTAAGTTCAAGGCCAGACTGGTCAACATAGTTCCAAAGAGCCAGGGGTACACAGTAAAATCCTGTCTAAAAGACCATGTTAATAACTAACATCGTCTAAAGCTTTGGTTACTTAACAGATTCCACCCTCGTGACAAACCATTATCAATGCCCTGGTTCTTGTTGGAAGTGTTCTGTGAAACTTTCTAGAGCCACTCAAGGAAAACCAGGAATATGAGGGACTTTTGGCGTCATGCCCTCAGGCTTCTTAGTTCATTTTTTGTTAGGGGAGCTGGTTGGGGGTATAGAGGCTGCTTCGGGCCCAGGTGCCTAGCCCTGACAGAACTGCGGGGCTGGGCTGTTTGCAGAGCAGCCCGGCTACCAATCTCTAGCGACCTGACTGTATATAGCCCGGGACTCCCAGGAAGCTTCTGGCTGTATTTCTGTGACACTGGGAAGAAGCAGGCCCATCAGCAGAAAGTTAAAAATGGCACAGCCTGGGCTGGAGAGATGGCTCAGTGATTAAGAGCACTGGCTGCTCTTCCAGAGGTCCTGAGTTCAATTCCCAGCAACCACATGGTGGCTCACAACCATCTACACCCCCTACTGTCCTCTTCTGGCGTGCAGGTGCACATACAGATAGAGCACTGACGTGCATAAAATAAATAAATAAAATCTTTAAAAAAAAAAAAATGGCACAGCCCACAACTGAAGGACTTCAGGGCCTCTTCAGTTTCCCATGGGTCACAGGGGAGCCTGGTGCAGATTCCATGGTGGGACAACACTACAGAGCCAGCATTTGCTCTAGAAAAGTGCAGTTGTAAGAATCCTTGCCAACACAGCCCATTCCAGCTTGCCACAGTCAACATGCTATCAGCTCATCTCTCCTTTAGAGTTAGTCATACCACACATTTAATTTTATTTTAGCCAGGAATACATTGTAAAGAACACTAAATTCACTGTATTTGTTTCTGTCACAAACTTCAATTTAAATGGATTTTAAAATAATTTTAAGATTTACCTTTGGTATTAAGGCTTTACTACAGGATCCCAAGCCAGTTTGTAGTACTAACCAATGTGGCTTTTTGTAGGTTTGCTGTGTAGAATGTTAAGCACCCGAGTAACAGTGGCTCCTTGACAGTCAGAACTCTAGGTGACCTTCCATTGCAGCTGCTTGACGGGGATGGGGATGCCTGTCTGTGAACATAGCGCCTCCCAGGGCCACTTCACTACATCGCAGCAGTCACAGGCTTGTGCTAGTTCACCTGCTGTTGAGGTATTTGGTTCCGATACAAGCAATCCAGTTGCCAGACTAAAAATTACACGTGGAAGGAACTGGAGCCTCACTGAGCAGGGAGGCTTCAGCACAGCTTCCCAGAGCCAGTTTAGGCAAGTGTGTGCACGCACAGGCTGTGGCTCCCTGCACATGAAGTGTCCCCACTCCTTATGTCGAGAGACTTCGGATCAGTGTGAGGCATTTCCTGCAAAGTCTGTGGCCGGGGGTTCACTACAATTGAAATGTTCATTTGTAGAAATATTTATTCCTTTGTGTGACAAGCTAGAGTCCTTGGCTATAGCTAACCATTTTTATTGTGTAAATACTGCTTGATTTTACATGAACTGTATCATAATAAACTATTTTTGCATTGCCCTCTGCATGCATATGGGTGCTGACTCAGCCAGGTGAAGACCAGAACCTAAAGTCCTGAATCATAAATGTAATGAACTGAGTTTCATGTACGTTTTACAACCTGCTGCTTTCCTTTTTACACTGTTTCTCATAGTTTTTGTTTTTAAAATATTTATATTAGATTTTACATTTTCACATATAAGCCATAATATTGTAGGACTAGAATGTAAGGTACTTTGACTTGCTCTAAAAACGTCAGGGGTTAAAAGAACAGAAAAAAAAAAATCCTGATGGTCATTCCTTCATTAATCAAGAGACTCTGTTTTATGGCTCTCTTGTTTTTATTTTGTGGTGCTAGAGCCCATGGCCTCAAGCATGCTGGTAATCCCTCCACCACATGAAGTTATAGATCAGGCTGGCCTCATGATCTTACTAGTTTACTGAGTAGCAGTATGCACCACTACCTGGCCTTCATGGATTTGCTTGTGTTATAATTGTGCCTGGTGTTTTGTTTTAAAGCATAACCTAAAATAGGGCAGCACAAAATTTAACAAAATTGTTCTTTAATTATGGTATATTCTTGATGTTTCTATTTCAGTTTTTTAACGTTTTGTTCAATAACTTTAAAATAATAGCCTAGGTCAGACAATGGCTGCCAACTTGGTGATCCCAGCCCACTAGAGGCTGTGGTAAGAGGATTCAGAGTTTGAGGCTAACCTGGGCTACACAGCAAGACCCTGACTGTCCCCATAACCCCCAAAAAGGTAAGATAACTTTCAAAAATATTATCACAAACTTTATAATAAGTATGTGAAATACATAAAAGAATATATATTTTTAGTATATTATTGCAGTTGTTTAGGGACTTCTCAATAGCTTTTTGCCCATTAAAAACTATTATAAATACGGCAGGTGGACTATTGTTGAGCTCAAGGCCAGCCTGTTCTACAAAGTCCAGGACAGTCAAGGGTACGTGGAGAAACCCTGTCTAGAAAAAAACAAAACAAACGAACAAACAAACAAACAAAAAACACTATTACAGACACATTAAAAAAAAATCCTTTGGGGAACTGGCCTTATATGTTCTGCAGTTTTAACACATTTTCTTGAAAGCTATATGAGTGCAGTTTAAAATTAGTTGGCAAGCTGAATACTCTTTCATGATTAAAATTTAAGAAATCAAAAACCAGGAGCGGGAAAGCCTCAACATCCCCACCCAGCTCATTACACTCAATAACGAAAGACTGGCATCTCCCTAGTATTACTCTCTCCCTGAAGACTGCTTTCACCACTTCCGTTCAGTAGAGTATAAAGTATCTAGCCAAAGTTGTTCAGGGAGAAATAGGCACTCTGAGAGGGAACAAATAAAGCTGTTCCTTTTAAATGAGGTCTCTTCGTAATATTCAAGTCAGGCCTCAGAAACCTCGGATAAATGGCTGAGGTGCATATCAACGTTTCAAAGGGGATGCTGGCTGGCGGCTCTCCCAGCATCACTCAGCACCTATAGCTCCTCCCAGCTCTTCTTGACAGGCCCACTACCCTTAACCTCTCCCCTTCCAGCTTCCACTGTGCCTCCCCAAGCCATATTGGCTACATGGGTCTCTTGGCCTCTCAGCCTGTCTGGGTTGAGGGCTCCTCTCTTGCTCTCCCCTCCTCTTTTCCCCCCTCATGGTCCTGTTTAGTCCACGGGCCATGTTCAGCCTGCTTTCTCCATGTATCTACAATAAAAATCTTATTCATACTTTAGGAGTAGTCCCTTTTGTTTCATTTGTCATTCAGCGAGCACTACTAAATTTTACCAAGTTAGGATACAGGGCTCAGTTGTATTTCTACACAGTAGTTCTGAAGACCAGAATAAATAAACAAACAAACAAATGAATAATAAATTACAGTAACATGAGTAATGAGCTACTCTAGCTTAAAAAAATGAAAAACCAGATGGAAAATACTTAAAACTGTCAATACCAAGATTAAAAGGTCAGAAATCCTTCAACAGGAAAAAGCAAAACCAGACATAAAACACCAAAAGGGACCTAGTTCTATATAATACATTAAGACAAAATGGAAGCAAGTCTAGAATAAGTGTATTGAACAGTCCTGGCACTACTGGTAAATTAAACCCAAAGATAGGAAAAGCAGAAATATGGTTCCCACTGGGAACACCATTCATTGCTAATCCAGACTGTTGACTTCCAATTTAATCTTAATCCTCTTTCCTGATTGGCCACCCATCCCCCTGCAGGCTAGAAGTGATCTCTTATTTTCCTAAAGTCGTCTTTTCACTCTTGTGATTTCAAGAACCTAACCGCTTTCTATAATGGGTGCATATGCCTCATCTCTTTGATGTCTTCTTACCGCTTGATCTCCTTAGCCGCCCAGTATATATTTAAGTGAATGAACGACAACAAGTCTAAAGAAATTAAAGATACAGTAGATATCCTTGCTCAAGGAACAGAAAACTCAAGATGGTAACCATAACTTAATATACATAATCCCTATCAAAGTCCTAGACACTTTAGTTTTTGCCAGAAATTGGTATGTTCATTTTAAGATTCATGTGGACATGTAAGAGGCTAAGAATATGTTGGAAACAAAAAAGGATTCATGTTGCCACTTCTCAAAACACACTAATCTAGACTGCTGCTGGCATTACCACAGTCTGACACAAGACCATTAAAATTAATGGTCAGTTGATTTCAACAAAGGCTTTTGTTTTAAGACAGGGTTTCTCTGTGTAGCCTTGACTGTCCCAGACTGACTTTGTAGACCAGGCTGGTGTTGAACTCACAGCAATCCACCTGCCTCTGCCTCACTGAGTGCTGGGATTACAGGCATGTGTTTCTGTGCCTGGCTCAACAAAGGTTTAAATTCCATTCCTTAGGGCTAATGGTCTTAAAATGGTGCTGACAAGTGAGATATCCACATGCACTATACCCTGACCTCACAGCACTCAAAGTGGGTGTGGAAGTACAGACATGTAATCCTGGTACTTAGAAGGTGAGGAAGGAATACAAGCTCAGCCTGGTCTACACAGTGAGACTATTCAAAACACACAATGAAAAGGTAAATATGTAACAATGTCACAAGTCTACATACATTCCTGCTGCCTTACTCCTGACATCCACATGCTGCCATGTGGTCACCAGCCTTCTCTGGAAGAGGTGGACACAGAAGTGAAGGAAGACACACAGAATCAGGCAGATGACAAGGGTCGGAGTCTCACTTTAAACAAACTGATCAGTGCTGCGGCACACACCGGTAATCCCAGCACTCGGGGAGGCAGGGGCAAGGTGATTGCTGAGTTTCAGACCAGCCTGGTCTACAGCCGGAGTTCAGGGCAGCCAACGCTACACAGGGAAACCCTGTCTAGAAAAACCAAAAATAAATAAACTGCACTAACCAGAAGGCAGCTACTACTTTACAGGGCTCCCATCTTTTTACCACAGGTATCTAAGTAACTGTATACTGCTCCCAATATTTTGGTTTTTCTAAGTTTTTCGAAATGGAGTATCGTTGTAGCCTTGGCTGGCCTAGACTTACTTTTGTAGACCAGTCTGACCTCAAAAGAGGTTGGCCTGCCTCTGCCTCCCTGAGTGCTGGGATTACAGACGTGCATCACTATGCCTGGCCCCAAAATGTTTTAAGAGCAACCGTTTGAATGCAGCAGGCTAAGGCAGACATGTACCAGTTCATATTCTAAAGTAATATTTATTGAAATATGCCAGAAGTTCAGGGTCCCCGATGGCATTGTCACTCAAGGAACACTTTGTGATCTTACACATACACACGCACACACACACAACCCTCCCCAACCACATACATACACTCCTTCCAGGACACACTTAAGAATTTACAGGCTCCAGAAGAGAAGAAACTTGCCCAACATAACTACTTCTGAGGTTATTATACTTTACAGTTTCTGTTAAATCTTGGAAAATCAACATCAAGTTTGTCTAACACTAAGTTAAAAGGTAACATTAAAAAGGATGAAAACAGCTGGGCATTGTGGTACATGCCTATAATCCCAGTATCTGAGGCAGAGTCAGACAGATCTCTGTGAATTGGAGACCAGCCTGGTCTACATAGTGAGTTCCAGGCCAGCCATGGCCACATGGTGAGACCTTACCCACCCCCTGAACACATACAAAAATAAGAGAAAACATATGCATTGAGCAGTATCGGCTGCTAATGGTGGCATGAGCTCCCAGACACTTCATCCACTCAGACTGAGGCCACATGGAGCTTATGATACACACAAGCATGAACAATGACAAAACCATACATAGCTCTATCACTTGACCTACTTGCATGTAAAAGAACATAAAAAAATAATCTGAAACATGTCACAGATGCATGTGAAATCTGTTCCCCTGTCTGCCTGTGAACATCCACCAGAGCCGAGATCACAGCCTGGGCGGCTCCGCTTACCTCCAGTCCTCCCTCTTCAACTCCTGATCCAATACTGACCAAAAAGCCAGGAGTGAATCCACTGAGTCCACAGGTGCTAGAGACGAGGTCACTCTGAAGTCCACAATATTGCTCTAAATGTGAGGGGTGTGCAAAATTAAAGGCAAGGCCTGGGCACAACTACAGGCATGGCCAACTGGTATTCTTACCAGTGACTAACACTGCAGGGAGACAAGGCCAGTAGCAGAGGGTCAGTACTCTCAGGCTTGTCCAGTGATGCCCAGAGGCCACTTAAAGAGGATAGCCTGCCTGTAGAGGCAGCTGCGCAGTAAAACAGCCTACAGCACTGCCACACTGCCACCTCCTCCTGACTTCCAGTGGGGATGCAAGGACAGGAAGACTATCAGCTGCACCCCTGCCAGATGCAGGGTGGCAGGGAACATCACAAGGACAAGCTGGAGGACAGCAAGACAAAGCAGGATCAGTGCCCGCGCTGCTTTTGAGGGAAAAAGCTGTACTTGGTGGGGTCAAATTCTTCCCAGATGCGCTCAAACTCCTCCAGGAACAGCCGCACATACTCAGTGTCCTCCATAATCAGAACGTTCTCACGGTTGTTCTGGATGGCCTGTGTGGTCCAATTGAGGGAGCCAGTGATGAGCACCTTCTTGTCAACGATGGCAAACTTATGATGCATGTAGCCTAGGTCCTGGTCGTGCCGTACCTGAATACCTGTGGAGCCAAGGCAGCCTTTATTTCACACGCCTAGGTGCAGCTGCCCCCAAGCCTGTTGATGTCCTCTGTTGGCTAGGACAAGGACATCCAGAGGCTGTCCCAGGGTGTTGCTGAGATTTCAGGGAGAAGTCCAGGTCGGCACAGGGAAAAACAAGGACCGGATGACACCAAACACTCCTGGGGAACAGCCCGCCCACACCAGCCCACTAAGCCTAAAGTCTAAATACTACCCCAGAATCCTCAAGAAAAGAGTCAGACATGGGGCATACCCTTGCCTTTCTTGTCATTCACTCACTGGAACGGATAAGCCGAAAGGCAGAAGCCCGGACATTAAGGGAGCGCACACTGACTCTGGCTGGCCAGTTTGAATCACACCTCCCAGGGTGCCTCACTAGCTGAAAGGAAGGAATTGTGCCATATCCGAACCTGTTAGCCTCACCAAAGTTCTGGCTTTGGCATCTTAATTTTGAGGGTAGGGATCCTGGGGTGAAACCCAGGCCCTTCACATGTTAGGTAAGTCATCTCCTTCACTCCAGCTTCTTCCTCACTCCACCCATCTGTTCTCACAGCAAAGCCTGGCAGCCCCAGGTCACTGCAGTGCACCTTGGGCTAGACGGCCCCTTGCTTTAGTTACACCTCAGCAGCTAGTCTTGGCTTGGGCACGCTTGCTGCTCCTTCCTAGATGGCTCTCCAGCAGTCGCAACGCCTCTGTGCAGCTATCCCAGCCACCTCACTTTCTAACCTCAGTGAGGTCCTCCAGACCTTTCTGGTTTATGTGTTTTCCCACAAGCATCTGGCTATACCAAACACTGACACATGCATTTGCTGACTGAACAATCTGGAACCCACCCAAGCTGTGGCCAGAACATCAGTGCGAGTTCCATCTGGGATGGAAGGCATTTTGGTTCTGTACAAATTTGCAGTTTTATGACTACAAAATCTAAATTCAGTGACATCATCCATGCCTCATATCTACTTGTCCGCTCACCCAAAATAAGGACCTGACTGAAGACCACTCTGTGACAGCCAGTAAAAGGGCAGAGGGGTGGCTATCAGACTGATAGAGTGGTGCTGCCCTGCCTGTGTGGATCATCCATCCACAGCAGGCAGGCCGGTGTTACAGTGTTCTTCCCTGTGAGCTACCGGAAGTTTCCAAAGGCTACACCATCTCAGGGAGGTGGGAAGACAGGCTATGTGCAAGAGCACTTCCCAGGGGCTCCCGAAACCTGTCGGGCACAATGACCAGGATAGGCATGTGTGTGGATGAGGGGCGGGAGGGCATTGACTCTTACATAAAGGAGGGGTCTAGCAGTCAAAGTCTGCATTCCCACAGTGCCCACCACTTGAAGGGCAAACAAGAGCACAGCCGGAGGAAGGATAGAGATCACACCTGTTGGCTAGGCAGAGCTGCAGGCTGGCTAGACATAACTGTGGGCCCAGAGCGGATGGCTGAGAAGCAGATGAAGCAGTTATGGGTCTGTGTTGGCCGGGTTCAAACAAGTTTTACCTTCCCTGCCTTCACTTCTGTCAGCCATCTTTATCTCAGCCAGCAACAATCACAGAAACCTGGTCTATACACAACCTCTTCTCCAAGGCCAGGGCCAGAGCCCAGGAACACGTGGGAATTGCCACACACCCTTCTCTCACGGGAAGCAGAGATGGAACATAACAGACCACACTCTGGGTCCTTGGCCAGCTCGCTCACCTGCCTGCCTCGACCTCCCCGAACAAAAGCCACCTGTTCTGGACAAAGTCAGCTGGGCCATCAAATAAGCCCTCAGCCCCTCTGCCAGCGAGCACCTTCGGCGGCGGTTTACCTGCCTTGCGCAGCAGGCCAATCTGCGAACCGTTGAGGGCCATGTAGTCGCAGTCGGTGATGACCCGCACGCGCACCCCACGCTGGTGCAGCAGCTGCACAGCGCGCCCCAGCTGCGGGCTGGAGAAGGCAAAGAGGCAGAGCTCCAGGCTGGAGCGGGCGGCCAACAGCGCGCGCAGCAGGCGGCTCAGCGAGCTCTCGCTGTGGGGGAGGCTGCACGGGCAGCCCGAGGAGGGCCCCGGGGGCAAGCCCGGGGCCTGAAGTAGGGCCTCGGTGCAGGTCACCTGCGATGGGAAGAAGAGCACTTCGCGCCGTGGTCGCCGCCCGGCCAGCAGCCAACGCACCAGCCACGGCAGCGCCTCCATGGCCAGCGCGAGACCCGCGCCAGCCGCGACCACCAACCGCCAACTCGAGGGCCCCATGGCCGCCACCTCAGAGGTCAGTGGTGGCACCAGGCGCTTGCGCGCCCAACACGTGCCAGCCCGCCCCCAGCCCCGGGTATGCCACGCCCCCTGCGGGGCCCGCCCCCAGCCAGGAGCTCTGCTCGCTCCCAGCTGCTGCTAGGCGACCCCTCTGCACCCCCACCCCACCCCGCGACAAGTGCTTGCGGAACGCGTGCTCGGTACTTGGCTGACAGCCGAGTGCCAGGAACCACATACTAGGATCATCACCGAGCCAGCCACACCCACTTCTGATGGGATCCAACCACCCCAAACAACTCATGACCCACGGCCGGCAGCTGTGTCCTGGGCTGGCAACTGCCCGGGTTCTAAACTGAAGGTATTCTCAGGATGCCGCTTCCCTGCCGCGGACAAACAGGCCCCTAAACGGGTCATGAAGAACAACACATAGACCAAACTCAAACCTGTTTTACGGGGTAATGATAATTATAAATGGTGGTGGTCAACTCCACATGGGTCAGCTCAAAATCAAAACCAGGATGTAAAAGAAAGAAAAACAACAATGGGGTGATAGAGATCAAAACCTCAGGGAGTTCCTCGACATGAGAATATGTACAGCAATGAACACTCTCCTAGTGAACTTTTCCATTTGAGGTAACTTAAGCCCCTACACAAATTCTTTCATCCTATGTAACTACTTATAACAGGCTTTTGAATTCTGGGAAACGGGTGTCTGAGAAATGTGCCACCCTTTCCTAGAAGCTTCCCCCCACAGAGAAAAATCTTAAAGCCCAAGCCTGTCCGGGTCAAGGCTGTTGCTGCTGGGCTATAGGCCTGCTCTCCCACTACAGAGAATGCTCGCTTCCTTGCCTTATCTAATTAAACTGGAAAACTCAAGAATGGAAAATACCCTGGCCCTGTGGCTCTCACCTATAATCCCAGCACTCAGGGAGGCAGAGGCAGTGTGAACTCGTGGTGAGTTCAAGGCCAGCCTAGTCTATGAAGCCAGTCCAGGACAGCCAAGGTGAGACAGAGAACCCCTGTCTACGGACAAAGTGGGGGAAGGATGCAAAATTCGGCTGGAGAGGAGAAGAAACTGGAGGCCTCCCCCCAAAATATACACCCACCCCATTATCACAACACTGGGCCCCACCACTTGGAGGGTAGAGATGGCCATGGACAGCTTTATGGGCACCTGGCCTGCCCTTCACAGAGGGAAAGGCAAGGGTCAGGTGAGGGAGCCCTAGGTGGGAATCAGCCCAGCTGGTCTTGCCCTGACTGAGAACTCCTCAGCGCCTGCACCTGCAGTGTTCCACCGAAGGGGAGGTCCTCACGGTGTCCTGAGAAACAGGGGGAAGGGGCGCTGACCTCCGTCTGCAAAGTCAAAGACCGGCGCCAGTGCACGGAAGATGGTGCTTCAGCTAGGGACTGCCCTCCCCGGGAACCGATCAGCCTTTCTGAAACTGCAAAGTGAAATGGCCAACAGCTGGAGGATCAGGTTTAGAAAGGAAGGGTGGAGTCACACCCCTGGCCGTCTTGGGCTGGTCAGCTATTCCACTGAGAATGCTTCCTGTGTTCTATCTTCTCTCTGTAGGAACAAGCTTTAGTGAGGCCATCGTGACACATGACACCTACGGCCCACTTCCGCCCTCTGAGAAGCTCTAGAACCAGCCCAATAGCCCTGCAGCTCTGGAGGGAGATTGGAAATAGAAGCTATACTGGGTCCTCATGCCTGCCGAGTCTCCAAGCAGACTCCCCTGAGATAGGATGGGCCTTCTGTTTTGGGGGCTCCTTTGCCTTACACCTATGTTCTGCCTTTGTTTCTGCCCCACTTGTTTCTAGTCTTTAGGTATAAAGACATGGGCAAATCAAGGGAGAAACAAGCTGGTACCAACATTTTCTGAGTTGCCTTAGGTTTTCTAGACGGTTTTTATAGTTTTCTGGCTGATGGCTTCTAAATTACAGGTACTTATATTATCCCCCAACTTGGTATCCTTTAAGATAATATATATTATATATACTCAGTTTTTCCGGTTGTCCACCTCCCATCTGCAGACACTATCTTATGTCTGGATTAAAAAAAAAAGTCTAAAATCAATAGTTCCAGCTGTGCCTCTTAAAATAATTACAGAAAAAAAAAAAAAAAAAAAAAAAAAAGGAAAAATAATTGGCCATTAAAAAAAAAAAAAAAAAAAAAAAAAAAAAAAAAAAGACGGGCGAAATCATTAGGCACTGCAGCTGAGTAGCCAGCTGCTCCTCCCGGCTGGCTGTATGCAATTAGGTCCTAATTGCATTAGACCTCAAACTTTTCTGGGAAAACTGGTGTGTGCAGGCTGGAAACTAAAAATGGGGAATCCACCCACGCAACCACAAAAGGTCCGTTCCAGATACTGAGGAAAGGCCTGGGTTGTTGCCTAACACCTCCTTACAACAAATGATGAGTCTGTTAGTTATGTCTCATGGTATTTAAAATTCTATAATCGAGAAGTTTATATTTAAAAGGTAAAATGGCTTAACTGTAATCACAGATGTCTCTCTGAATACATCCTTTCTTGGTCTTGTTAAAATGTGTCCATCCATTGTCCATCCCCCATTCTCCCCACACCCACACCCACCGATATCCTCATAAAACACATCCCCACCCACAAACCCCACCCCCACACTCCCTGCACCTCCATTCAAGATCATGGGTATCTTCAAGCTCTTTCTGAAATGTAAGACCACTGCCGGAAGAGGTGTTAAAAAACTGTTCCAAGAAGAAAGAAGTCAGCCTAAAACTTAGAACAAAAAAAGTGTAATAGTTTAAAAAGTCTATCTACAGACAATCTAAATTGCTACAGTACGTCATGTATGTAACTCAGATTTAACCCATGTTTAGGAAAATAGAAACAGTAAGATGTGAGGGAAAATATTTAAATAGACACAAAATAAGAGGTTATGTTTTTTATTTTAAAAATGTCAAAATATCTTGGATAAGGATAGATTTTTGTTCAATAAAACAAGACTTTTTTTTCCTAAACATGAAAAAGAACAGATGAAGACAAAACCACAAAAGCTTAAAGCCAAGTCACGAAGGTCTGAGTAAGTCATACAAGGTTTATGGAGGATGGGACTTAGGAATGATAGATATTTGATGGTTAAGATTTATAAATCTCTGGGGCTGGAAAGATGGCTCAGAGGTTGAGAGCACTGGCTGCTCTTCCAAAGGTCCTGAGTTCAACTCCCAGCAACCACATGGTGGCTCACAACCACCTACAATGAGATCTGGTGCCCTCTTCTGGAGTGCAGGTGTACATGCAGACATCACATTGTATACATAATAAATAAATAACTAGATAACTAGATAAATAAATAAATAAATAAATCTTTAAAAAATTTATAAATCTCTACGGATAGAGTGCTCTATTCATGCTAACAAAAACTGACTTAAAGATGTTTACATCAATTCACATTTTTTTTCTAACTTTGTTAAGTTTTGGGTATTTGGAGAAACTGGGTCATAGAAAAAATTATATTTTTCTGGGCATGATGGCACAGGCCTTTAATCCTAGCACTCAGAAGGCAGAAGCAGGCAGGCCACTGTTGAGTTCAAAACCAGCTTGGTCTACAGAGCCAGTTCTGGGACAGCCAGGGCAATAAAAAACCCCGTATCTCCAAATATAAATAAATAAATAAATAAATAAATAAATAAATAAATAAATAAATA